GACCCCCTCCCCGGCCCGCCCGCCCGCCCGCCCGCAGAGGAGGCTCCGTCTTCGGCAGCCGCCAGAGGGCCCTGGGCGGCGCTGGGGAGGGAGCGCGGCTCTCCGCCTCTCTCTTTCCTCGGCGCGGGGCGTCACGCGTTGAGCTTCCTGGGTGACTCGCGGGCGGCGGCGGCGGCGGCGCAGCGGATCGGGCCGGGAGAGGCGCCCGCCGCGGGTCCGCCCCGCCAGCCGCCGGGAGCCCCTCCTCGCCAGGCGGCCCGGCCCGGCCCGGCCCAGGTGGGGACCAGGCAGCGCTTCCGGGACGGGGAGGATGAAGGCTGCGGGCAGCGCTGCGCCGAGCCCCGCGCCGGGGCTGGCAGGAGCCGTGCGGGCGGGGACGGCGGGCAGCCAGCCGCGCCGGCCCTTTGAACCCCGCAGCCCCGGCCTTCTGCCCGCCTTGGCGCCAGAGCTACCCTCTGGAGCACCCGGTAGCCCCAGTTCGAGCAGGATCTTCATTGGGCTGGCTGGAGGGGAGGAGTGTGCAAGCTTTGGAGTCCCGCAGGGCTCTTTGGCAGCCTTCTGCCCGATGAAGCGTGCTGCAGAACTCAAAAGTCTGCAAACCGCTCCGGGGTGTTGAGTTGATATTGCCCACTATAGATGCGGAGTTCCTGTTCCTTGCCCCATTATATCTCTGATCTTTTAGCGTCGATTTGAAAGCCTGGCTCTTCTTTCTGTTCAGTGTCAGTTGAGTAACAGAACTGACTTTCCCTGGGGTTTTAGTGTGTGCTGGGGAGTGAAAGCAGGCTTTAAAAATGGTGATTAGTGTTTCAGCAATAAGCTGAATTTAATCCTGCTTAATAAGAGCAAATGGGCATGATTTTACTCTACACAGTTACTACCGTTCCTATAATAGTATACACTGCCTTTTAATTTGGATTAAGGCAGCTAGCAAAACAATACTTAACAGCTACAATATGTGAAGAAATAGATTCAGGGACTGTAATGGATCTAAACTGAAGCTGAGTCAGTGTTGTGGTGCAGCTTCAAAAAAGGCAAATGTGGTTTTAGAGGGCATTTGTTTAGATGTCAAATCAAACCACGGGTTCATTTGACTCTCTTTTATTGGACTTTGTTTGGCCAGTTCTGGCTACTGCCTGCAGTTGAAATTAATATCCATTTTAATTGGATATTAATTGAATTTAAAAGATTGGAATGGGTTCAGAGGTGGTGGTGAAATTGAGCAGAGATATAGAAAACAAGCCCTACTTGGAAAGTTGACAGCCTGGAGAAAAAACAGATGAGAGATGACATAATGTTTGCACAGCACACTGAACCAAAAACTACCCAAGCATATTTTAACTTAGCATATTTGTTCTGTAAATGTGGCCCTCTGGTTAGTTTAGAGTTCAGGGCAAACAAAGTCTGTAAAAGCCTATACTAGAACTGCCATCCTTTGTTTCTTGGGTCTGCCATGGAACGGTATTTCAGTTGTACTTGAAGGTTCGATCTTTTTCTTCAAAACTGGAACATTCGGATGGTTCTGATTCTGAATTTCAAAAGGGACTTGGGTCTTTTGCAACTTGCAATCTCTTTGTCGAGCATCTTTAAAGCGATAACCTCAAATAGTTAACAAAGGCAGAATTTCGTTTTGTTTATTTTCCTGAAGCTGCTCAATCCGGCCCCTTTTCTGCGTGGAATTAAATTTCAGGTTTTGGAAGTAGCCCGAAAAGGTGAATTCCAGAACAAATGTGATGCGTGGAGGCTTCTCGTTCCAGATGCCCGTGGCCCCCCGGGTCGAACGGCCACCTCGTACTGGAGACTTCTCTACTGGAGGGACATGCAAGAGAACTACGAGACTCTGATCTCTCTGGGTAAGGATTCGTTTCACTGGGTAAACTGATGAAACATAAGGAACCGCTCTACTGGATCAAACCCAAGGTCCAGGGAATCCTCATTGTGGTGAACCATACGCTTCAGGAAAGCCCACAAGCAAGGAATGATGGCAGCTGTTCTTTTGTTGTGTTTCTCCATCATTTGGTTTTTGGAAGGTATACTATACCTGCATGTGAAGGTTTGATTTAGGTCTTGTGGTTTACAGACCTCTCATCCGTCTACTTTTCTCATCTCTTCTGGTAAACCACGGAACGGCTTGTTCTCTGTATTTAGAACAAGGCTGACCACCACTGCATCAGTAATAAAGTTACTTAGCCTTCACCAGCTGAGGCCCTCCCCAACATGCTGGACAACAACTCCCATTAACTCCATGATCTGCTGGCAACGGGAACTGTAGTTGGCCAAGGACACCAGGTTGGGAGAAGCTGTTTTCTATACTAGTTCAAGCATCTGGATGCTGGCTTATGAGATATTCTATGAAATTAGCTTTAACTGTAATATAGGGTTCAGAGCCAGTCTGGTGTCATGGTTAAGGCACCAGGCTACAAACCAGGAGACCCTGAGTTCTAGTGTCACCTTAAGCATAAAGCCAGGTGGGTGACCTTGGGCCAGTCATTCTCACTCATCCCTGGGAAGGGGGCACTTCCAAAATCTTGCCAAGAAAATTGCAGGGATAACTTCAGGTAGTCAATAGGAGTCAACACTGACTCAAAGGCACCCCCCCCCCAAAAAAAGGTAATATAGGGTTACAGGAAATGAAGCTGAATTGTATACAGACAGTCCTCCACTTATGAACAAATTATGTTCGAAGAGGCTGTTTGTAAGTCCATTTTTTTGGTAAGTCCAACCATGGCACACTGCATACATACATCTGGAAGTTTATGCACCGTAAACTTCCAGGACCTTCCTTCCAGGACCTTCATTGTTGGAGTAGTTGGAGGTTTATTCATATTGGCGAAAGTTCGTAACTTGAATGTTCATAAGTAGAGGACTCTCTGTACGCCCTTACTAGGGAATAAGCTCTACAATTCTTTGGGATTAATTTCTGAGTTAATCTGCAGGAGATTCCGCTGTTACTTTACTGTGGCTGGAATCCTAGTGACATTCCTCCCAAGCACAGGAGAAATGCTTTGCTCTTTCGCATCCCACTGGAATTCTGGTAAGCCACTGGCCTCCTTGGTTGTTCCAAGATCCAGCTGGCTCAGCATCACTGCCCGGATTCTTCTAGAAAGGGAGAGCCCTCCATTACATTGCTCCCTAGCAGCTGATATTGTTTAACAGAATGCTCCCCTCTGATTGTAGCAGGCATTCAAGCGGTCACAGTGGGACTTAGCCAAAGCAGGGACCTAGCTGCATCAGTGGCCCACGGCATCCATGTGGTGCCAACCCATCTGCCAAACGTCCTAACGGGGGCTTTTGCACTTTGTCTTGTTAGCAGAAGAGATGGCCATCACCCTGCCCCGAATCACTGCACTAGCTGAGCCCCACCGGAGAGGGTTGGCATCAGGTAAGACTGGTGGTTTTTGTGCTCTGCGCCCCAAACAGAAATGCTTTTCTGTGCCTTAGGTGCAATTAAGAACAAGCTGGTCTGTTCTGCGTTTAGAATAAATTCTGTAAAGGCTTATGCAGACTGACTTGTATACATGAAGATGGGATGATGATGATAATAAGAAACAAGAAAGAAGAATACTAGCCTGCTACTTTTGGTCCAAGATAATCAACCTCCCCAGTGATGCCTGCCTGCCTGCCTGCCTGCCTTC